TCTTGCGATACTTGCGTCATAGATACCATAGATATTAATTTCATACTTTATTCAGCCATATAATTATCTGCCGTTTCTAGAATTTTGGTCGTATCAATTGTTGGAAATCAATTGTTTGACATTTACCTTCTAAATCTCGATTGTGCATTGAGGTGGGGGTTGGAAATATTGACTATGGAAAGAAGCGACGAAGAACAGCATTAACAACAGACTTAAAATGTTCAAATCTTCAGGCATTAAGTTGACGTACAGAGAGGGGTCTCAGAATACACAATAAAAAGAATAGAAATGTTAAAAAATAAATTAGTAACATTATATTTTGTCATCTTTGAAATATTTACTATTAGAAGTATCTGAAACTTCAACACTTACCTGATCAAACACATTGCTAAAGAGTAATCATATACATGTATGCCACTAAATTATTCTCTCTCCTTCTGTTCCACTTGAACACAAACGAAAAATAAAAGTATAATGAAAACGGTTTAATCAAAGGCACGTGACTTTCGTCAATTCATTAAAGACTATGAATGAAACTATTTTAAGTATTTTACGGAGGTTGATCATTAAAGTAGCGACATTAACCTTCTGTGCTGTTGTATCATTAGGTCAGAAATAGACTTTTGTATGCAGCAATGTCAAAATGAAACTTTATTTCGAATCAGGCACTAAAATCTAGATTGTTTCCTAAACCTACCTATAATAGTGATTATCTCATAATAATCGCATTGTTCTTATGATATCTGATAATCTAAATACATATATATACATTTGTTGTATTGTATGATCTATAATATCTAATTGTTTCATATAATTCTGGTTATCTATTTATACTAAAATTCTTATGAAATTAACTCAAAGGTGTCGAAATTTCAATTATTTCCCACCTCTAATTATTTTATAGCATTCTGTTTAGCTTATCATATTAGCATAAATACATAATGTCCATATGTTACTCATAGGTAAAAGACAAGGTGACAAGGTTATATTATGGAAACGTCCAATTCATTTTATTTTGTCATTTCATTTCGAGTTCTAAATAAATAAAAAGAATGATGTAAAAATATTTTGTAAGAGAGGATATGGTAATAACACACATCCTATTTATAATTCATATAACAGTCTATTTCCTTTAGACAACAATATAATTTGTACTTATTACCACGCCAACTCATTACACCCCACAACTGTAAAGCTGCATGGCGCTTGCTGCCCCGTTTAAATAAATTTGTTCTCATCAACTTGCGTGACTAATGCACGCGACCGAGAAGACGCAAAGACGATCGCAATATCAGAACGACATAATGTGTCTATTTCTATACTTCCTGCTCTGCGAATCTTTAATTTGAAATATCGACACAGAATTTTAAGCTTTTCCAATTAAATGGAATCCTCAAGAAAGCTACTAAGTTCTTTTCTCAATAATCTTGGCCGGTTGCCTTTATCTTTTTAGTTCATAATAGAAAACTACAAAAATATCCTCTTATTTTAATAACGATTTTAATGACACACAATGGCATAAGTTTTGTCAATTATTGGGCATCTTAAAAAAGAAGTAACAATCACTGATCTATTCTTTCTTCTTGACGACATATTAAAAATGTTTATAATGCCACCTTGTTTTGTGTTACCTGTGCTATTTCATTTATCAATACTTCTTTATACTTACCATTCCAGATACTATCCAACCTCGTTCGTTGCTGATGCTCAAAAACGCATTTCATCTCATTTCTACTCAACCATCATGATGTTCACTGACACATGAACTTTGAAACACACATGAATACATAATGTTTCAATATGTATGTGCTTAGAAATAGAAACCACATTGGTAGTAATGAGAATGGGGTGAATAAGCCTCTTTGTAGATTAATTGTTGAAAGAACAGACAGTGATCTTGAAGGTTAAATTGTATAATAACCGTGATGACATTCAACTAAATGATATCTCCAATTCATAGCCTTTGGTATTTCCCTTTCTGTATCTATGAATACCAGTTTGACATTGGAATTTTCATAGATTTTGATGGATTGGTTTCAATTTCTTATTTTCGTAGAATGAAGGAATGACGCAATTCGTTTTTTCGTTAAGACTATAGATACAGCGTCCTACAACAGGCTATATAGCCCAGCCTCTACTAAAATCTTCAATTAACAACTGAAGTAAATCAATTGATTAAATTTAACCATGCCTTTCAAGGTGAGATATATTTTATGAATATTTATATCATTATATGAAAGCATTGGTAGTCACAGCATGTTATGGAATGAATCTATAAAAGCAATTGATCAAACGTTGCTATACTTTGAGCCTTAGGTTCCATACGTGTCTGTTGTCTGCATCAAGACTAAATGCAAAGGATATTGATTGGCGAGTAGTGCCTCTCGACAAAGCGGGCGAGTAAACTCCCCCAAACAATGCAATATATTTATTATATTATTACATTTTATATAAACACCCCCAACTTTATATATTATGTATTTTAGTATATCATTTGTATTTTAATGTATAGATTTATATTGTATTATTATTATTGTCGTGTATTGAATTAACAACTGAAGTAAAACAATTGATTAAAATTAACCCCGCCTTCTATCATTTCAAGGTGAATGGTTCATCTCTAATGAGATTTTTAATTAAATGTCAATATGATGAGGGTTAATATTATAACAGTTGTCGTTTCTGTCGTATGTAAATGTTATTACCGATAAGCTCTTATGTGTTCTTGTTGTTATGTAATTGTCAGCCCTTATGCTCTTGTTGTTACGTTACTGTTGTTTCTTGAAATGATAGAAACTGTCTAAACTTTCTGAGATCAATAAATTTTGTGTTGCCAGGGAGCATTGACAAGGTAGTTTCATAATGCAAAAGTTGCAATGATGTACCATTTTTGAAATGAAATGAACAATTTAAAATAGAAGAAGGTGAAAGCTCAATAATATCATTTGGTAGCGAATTTGGCACATATCTAAAACCTTAATCATCATCTTATTGTCTCAAAATAGTGCTATAGCACAAGATGGGACATAATTTGCTGCCATTGATAATTTATTTGTACAATAGATATGAGATTCACCAACACATGATTTAATAGAATTAAAATTAAAAGTTCCGTAGTGCTGGTAATCGTGACAAACAGCAAAATAATCACGCATATCTAAAAATTGAGTTGCTTAGTTCGAAGTAGAATTAACTGGTACTGGTAATGTTATGACCTCATACAATCTCATGTGATTTATTGGTACAGATAAAGAAACAAATATTAGATTATTCTTACGTGATATAAGAAAAGTTTCCATAAGCATAATAGTATTGAATGTCATTTTGTAAAATATGAAAATTTGGGAATTTAGTGTTCAGTATGTTTTGAATACCATGCAATGTCAATTGTAATTGTTGGGGCCAAACCAGTAAAGGAGAAAATTTGGTCTGCACTAAATTATTAATTCCAAATTTCAAATCATCTAAATGTGATTCAATTAAAGCGGCTTGTAACAATTGATCCGTTAACAAACTTGACATTGCTAAGAACCCTTCTTCCATATTCTGGTAAGTTTTCTCCGTGAATTAACAACTGAAGTAAAACAATTGATTAAACTTAAGCCTGCCTTCTATCATTTCAAGAAACAACAGTAACGTAACAACAAGAGCATAAGAGCTGACAATAAGATAACAACAAGAACACATAAGAGCTTATCGGTAATAACATTTACATAAGACAGAAACGACAACTGTTATAGTATGCTTAACATACTAATGGGGTTCGGTCAAGTGTTTATTTGACGACATTAAAAAAAAAAAATTTGTGTTCCATCATTTTGGTGGGTTTAAACAAGCAACTACTTTCAACCCTCAATCTTTGCGACCCATGATGTTCACACAGCACAAACCATGTTCAACCTCTGGCGATTTTTAAATGAATTACTAAAACAAAACGCAGCATTGGATTAAGATATTGGATGTATAGCTGTATCTCTCATTATCTTGCTGCAAAAGCAGAGACGACAGGAAATGTAGCTATTTGATCAATGGAGTAAAAAAACAAAACAGGTGCAAAAGCATCATTCTCACGACTAGAGCCAGGTGGCGGCAAGTTTAAGGATGAAAATGGTTGGAAGAAGGTTGCCATATAACCCTACTTCAACGAAACTTTAAGCGCACGCGCTAGAGATGAGATCTCCATGACCACCAAGTTTGACTGTGTTACTTTGGATGATAGTAAGTCTTTGTAATCGTGTGTAAAAATTCACTTAAGCTGACATCAAAAGATCAAAGCCAGATTTACAGTTATTAATTTAGTTTACTAATTACACAGCCTAAAGACAGCTTGCCAGGCAAGGTAACATACGCCCACTACTAGTTGTCAGAAATGATAACAAAGTCTGTAGTGGTTTAATATGTGAAACCAATCATCCGATTGTTACTAATTTCAAACTTTACTGAGATCTTATACCAAGTTTCATCAAAAAACGAATAAAAAATGTAGTCTCTATCAGGCCTACAAGCCAAATTAAACGCAATGAATTAATTCAAAGGCCATAACTCCAAAACCATTCATCCAATTATTACCATTTTTGAACTCTCATCAATATATGCATGCATACCATGTTTCTTTGAGATCAGATAAAAACTGCACTCTGTATTATGGCTACAAGCAAAATTTGAAGCGTTGAAGGGTAATAACTCTAAAACCATTCATCCGATTATGACCAAATTCAAACTTGACCGAGACCTTATTAATATATACATGCATACCAAGTTTCATCAAGATCAGATAAAAAATGCAGTCTTTATCATGCATACAAGCCAAATTTAACCCGTTATTACTAAGTCAAGGACAATAACTCTGAAACCGTTCATACGATTAATTCCCGATACAAATTGCAGCCTTATCATGCATACAAGCCAAATTTAATGCGTCCACATCTCCATGTGGGCGTATAAAAATAACACTGACCATGCTTATGTTGTGAACTTACCCTGATGAATATTTCGACAATAAATCCAAACACATTTTAATTAAACATTTAACATATTTGTGACTCTTACAAAAGGTGACATTAGAAATTTTTTTTTATCAATATATTTTATAATAAATGTACATTGAAAATATTGTAAGATGGTAGTTTGCAGCACTATAATGATTGTAAATAATATTTTATTTATTTCTAATAATGTTGTTTTAACGAAGTCGACTGCTGTAGGTTCCAATCCTCCTTGCATTTATCTCACTTCCTAGAATGCAAAATACAACAAGAATATAGCATATCTAACTACCGCATATCATATATTTATTTTTTGTATGAGATATATCTGCATTAAAATGCTAATCAGTATTAGCTATGTGGACTCTCAGAAAGAAATCCGAAACTCAGGCGAAATATGGTGTTCCGAGGGAGCATGCCAATCAGACAAAGCACTTAATTTAGTTACTGTAATGCCTAATGTTAATAGATTGAAGAATAACCACTTGAAGCGACCTTTTAGTGTATAATTCATATATCTATTATCCAATAAACGATATTATTATATTTGCTCCATTATTATGATTATGTCAATCAAAGATAAAGTGATTCTGTTCGCTCAACTATTGTTGATAACGTCCTACTGGTTGAATAAAACCATACCTCTGTGCTCTGTGTTGTTTCTGTTACTCATGTTGAACACTGCCCCTTCGCCTAATCTAAATCTAGCATTCTGGGGTAATCCTGAAGAGACGAATGTTGTAAATAACAGTTTTCATCTAATACCGATTTTCAGCAATGATTTTCAATTAACGACACATGACAAGTGTTCAGTGATAATAAGATTGCAAAATTTTATTGTAAAGAATTGAGTTTAGAATGCTTTATGTGGAATAGTTAAAGAAAGAACTGAACAATCGTCTTATCGTCCATAAGAGTCCCCTTCAATTAAAGTAAATGGTATAATCTGTAATATTTCTTATAAAATAACCACATTGTCTCCCTACAAGGCTCTATAGTACCTTTTCTTTTATTGTGGCGAAAGAATGATTTTTTTATACTTTTGCAAACTACTGCTAATGCTTTTGGATTGCGTGTTACAATTACAACCGACTTATTTAGAATTCAGAATATACCAGAAATCTCAGTGCTACTTACTGTATTGTGAGTTAGATTGTGTTTGAGCTGAAGCTGCTCCCAGTTCTGTTTGAACATTTTCTATTTCGTCAGCATTTACTCTGTCACCTTCAAAATACATCGAAATTCACTTTTAATGAGATTTTTACACCAATCATTACCATCAAACAATATTTGTCAAAGCGATTGCAGGAAATATACTATTTTTGTAAAATTATAAAACTATAGTTCACTACGCAATGAATAAACCAACACTGTTACAATACTATTTATATTTTGAACATTGGAAGAAAGTCATACTATGACTCATTGAGTCAAAATGAGGGGTTTCTCTTGTTATATCCCTGTTTATGAAATATCTGTAACTACCTGCATCCTTAACTATTTGAACTATTCCCGGATAGACCCAGCGAACGCCCGATAAAACTTCACCACTAGTTACCTCCATTTACTATAATCCACAAGTTTATTGAGGATCTTTTTCAGGTAATTATTAAGGGGGGGGGGGGGGGCGTGCGGCGACCCTGATGCAAGTAGGTATATCAATATTAGTTTATATCAATATCTGTACCTACCTGCATCCTTAACTATTTGAAAATTTAGAATTTGTAGCAAAGGGAGGTGGAAAGCCTTGATAGTCCATTACTAATGCCTTCCAAACAATACAATTAATTACTTCAATAAAGTATTTACATAAATTTTCCTCCAAGATTCCACCTCACAGTAATCCGCTTCTATCTAGAAGCCAGTAGAATGGAGGAACGTGCAAAAGAAGCCTCTGAACTGGGCACATCCTTCAGGTAAAAGTTAGTGAAGGTATTTTCAGTAGACCAGTGTGCAGCTTTCAAACTGTCTTCCAATGGAAGAATCTTACCTATCCTTGAGACTTGAGAAATTCATATTTGGCAACAATCTTATACCAGATCTCTCTATACGAAAATTAGAATCAGACAAACATAAAGCATGTAACTCACCAACCCTAGAAGCAACTTGCAAGTGCCACTAAAACACTGCTTTCCAAGTCAGAAACTTAACGCTATCCCATTTGAACAAAACTTGTAAAATCTTTTCCTGTATCGTTCATATTGCCGTACTAGCTCTCTTCTTGGTAGTCTAGAAACTTTCAAGTTTTCGATCCACGCAATGAGTGGTGGTGGGCGGGTCGAAGCTAAAATGGCCCGGCCTTGGGTCTCTTCATTCTCAAAGTAAGGTCTGATGAACCAAAGTCTGCATCTTATTGAGGCAACACTATAACCCCCCCCCCCCCCCCTCCCTTCAAAAGGAACAGCAAAGGATGACTGGAACCACCAGGTCTCTTTCAAAGGGGCAGAAGTAACTTGACAGGTCTTAGAATTCTTAGTGATTGCCTTAGATTGGGCCTTCTCTACCATGTTATGAATCACGGACCGTTTTTCCTGACCCCACGACTTACATACGATACACGGCAAAAACCATGTCGCCAACACTGTGGATGATCATCTATGATATTCATTTCCTCGCCACAATCGGAACAATACTTAAAATTGTCCTTGGCAGAATGGGGCATGATTTCTTAGCACGTATTCCGACACAGTATAGAAAAGAAGATAGCTTGCGATGCAAGGTAACATACGCCAACTGGCAGCTGTCAGAAATGATAAAACAGTCTTTAGTGACTAAAGTACGAATTTTCTCATATTGAAGAAATTATTTATGCTGAATAATTCCACAAAATTTTTTAAAATCAATATCAATAACCCAAATACAACAAACAATTAAATCACACAGCTCTAATCAAGGGCAAAAAACAACTTTTGACGCGTGTTTACAAAGACAAGGGCAATAACTCAATAAATGTTCATCAAAAATATCTCTTGTTACAACTTGTCTGAGATCTTATCAATTCCAATGATCACACCAAGTTTCATCAAAATCGGTTGAAAACTGTAGCTTCTATTGTGCTCACAAACAAATTTTGACGCATTTGTCGTAAGTTAATGGCAATAACTCAAAAACATTTCATCGAAAATGCGTCAAGTTAGAACTTGTCCGAGATCTTATCAATTCCAATGACCACACTAAGTTTCATCAGAATCGGTTGAAAACTGTAACGTCAATCCTGCTCATAAACTATTTTTCAAATTTCGACGCATTTTAACAAAGTCAAGGGCAATAACTCAAAAACCGTTCATCGAAAATGCGTCAAGTTAGAACTTGTCCGAGATCTTATCAATTCCAATGACCACACCAAGTTTCATCAGAATCGGTTGAAAACTGTAGCTTCAATCCTGCTCACGAACTATTTTTAACAAATTTTGACGCGTTTTTACAAAGTCAAGGGCAATAACTCAAAAACCGTTCATTAAAAATGCGTCAAATTAGAACTTGTCCGAGATCTTATCAATTCCAATGATCACACCAAGTTTCATCAGAATCGGTTGAAAACTGTAGCGTCAATCCTGCTCACAAACTATTTTTAACAAATTTCGACACGTTTTAGCAAAGTCAAGGGCAATAACTCAAAAACCGTTCATCAAAAATGCGTCAAGTTAGAACTTGTCCGAGATCTTATCAATTCCAATGATCACACCAAGTTGCATCAGAATCGGTTGAAAACTGTAGCTTCAATCCTGCTCACGAACTATTTTTTAACAAATTTCAACACGTTTTAACAAAGTCAAGGGCAATAACTCAAAAACCGTTCATCGAAAATGCGTCAAGCTAGAACTTGTCCGAAATCTTATGAATTCCAATGATCACACCAAGTTTCATCAGAATCGGATGAAAACTGTAGCTTCAATCCTGCTCATGAACAATTTTTAACAAATTTCAAGGCGTTCTAAGTCAAGGGCAATAACTCAAAAACTGTTCATCGAAAATATGTCAAATTCGAACTTGTCCGAGATCTTATCAATCTAAAGCATCACACCAAGTTTTATCAAAATCAGATAAAAACTTGTGAGCACTATCTATAGAAATGTTGACGGACGGCCGGACGGACAGGGGCGACGACAATATACGACCACATGTGGGCGTATAAAAACGTATGCGAAGATAAGGAATTTGAAAATGGCCCCCGAGAAGTCTACCAAACTTCGGCCTAAAAACGTCTAAATGAAGTTGTCACAACTTATGCATGTCACAAATACTCACCTTAAACTTTAAAGATAGCTTGCCAGGCAAGGTAATATACGCCGACTGGCAGCTTTGATTTGAATAAAAATATTTGGCAGAACAGTAACAATCACCAGTATGAAATATTCAACCTTCAGTCATACACTTCTTTTTAACTTCTTTGAGGCGATACTGAATAATATTGAGTATGAGTTATTACCCTTGTTCTTGAAAACCTGTTCAATTTTAGCTCGTGAAAACTCTAAAAGGCAAATATTCAATTACTGAATAATAAAACCAAGTTTTGTTAAAATCCGGCAAGAATCATGCCTTTTAGTATTTAAGAGGTACAATTTGAACTCGTTTTCAAGAACAGGGGCAGTAACTCCTATCAAATACTTTTCGATTCTTCTGATTTTCACCAGGGTTTATCCTTCGATGATAACAAACACTCATGCCAAGTTTCATCAATATCCGTCAAGAATTGTGCCTTCTAGAGTGTTTACGAGCTAAAAATTGAACGAGTTTTCAAGAACAAGGCCAATAACTCATACTAAATATTTTCCGATTTTTCTGATTTTCAATATGGTTCATCCTTGAGTGAGAACGAACACTCACACCAAGTTTCATCAAAATCCGTCAAGATTTGTGCCTTCTAGAGTGTTTAACCAGGTTTTGTCAAAATCTGTCAAGAATTGTGACTTGTAGAGTGTTTACGAGCAATTGTGGACGGTCGGACGGACATGGGTGAAGGCAATATACTCCCCCCATTTCATGTGGGCGTATAAAAATGTGAAAGCACAAAGTAAAAATCAACGATGCTTAATAAAACGGACTAAAATCGGACTAAAATATATTCCTCGCTCGCAAACACGACCGAGAAAGATGGCGCCCGAAAATAAACAGTTGGGCGGAACTAGATTATTGTAAGCGGAGGTAACTACCGGTGAAGTTTTATCGATGGGCCGATCCGGGATCAGTGCAAATAGTTAAGGATGCAGGTAGGTACAGATATTGATATAAACTTCCTGTTTTTATGTACTTACTCTAAACCACTGTGCAAAAAGAAGACAAACAAACAAAATTTTTGAAAATAAGGCACACAAAGTTACAAAACGTTTCAAGAAAAAAATAAAACTCGGCTTCGGTAACTACCTGTTCGGTAGACATTGTCTCTGTCACCAATGTCAACTTGCGCCCCAGGTGCCAGATCAAAATTTGGATCATCGGCTGGTGCTGCTGAACTGTCTACAACAAATAAGAAATTATTTCTCACTACTTATTAAAATATCGGTAAACGAGAAAAATAATCTATCCCAATATTTACTGAACACAAAACGAAATACATGATGATGATGATGATGTTATGGTTGTGACCACATACTGTACAACAATGTATATCATTTAAGTACCAAGAAGATACGTGAATACACCAACAAAATAGCAAAGTTCATAAAATCATCATTCATTTGTTTAAAAACTATACAATAGTGTAGCATTTTTCAACAAAATCAACTAATATATGAGAATTTAACTCCAATCTGCTTATCTGTTAGATAAATCAAAATCGAACATTGAACCCATTTGTGAGATGAATTGCAGGTAAATGCCGACATTGATAGTAAACACTAATTAAAAAGAGTTATTTTCACCGTATCTGATTTAATGAATGGAAAGGATATATAATAATTGGTTTATTTTCAAAGTAGTTCTTACCAAGCGGTTGACTACTACTATATCCTGTATAATCAGGCACAACCATGGTCGACGATTCTTGTCCGCTCCAACTATCTGAAATTCATTAACATATGATATCATGAGACTCTTCATTTCAATTAGAAAGTAGGATTTTAATATAATATTGAATTTGTATAGTGAATCATACGTGAATATTATTTGGGTATTTTTGTATATACTAACCTGAGTTGTGCCCCCTAACTATCACTGATACAATATGTAAAGATAGCAACGAATTTCATAGTTCAAGGGAAGTAACCAAAAATGTTCAGACTTTTAACAATTTATTTTCTTTTCTGTATATTTGCAGTTTTAAAAGGTCAAAATGTAATCCATTGTTGCTTGAAAAAAAATACTTCAACCTATGTTAATATTTCATCTATCAAGTATTGAGTATAATAATATAATAATATATATTACTTTCCGATGACTGTATATTCTGTTTTTCCTCAACTGGCATCACAGTATGACAGTCAGTCTGATCTGGAATTCAATGAGTAGAAAAATACAAAGATAGCTTGCCAGGCAAGGTAATATACGCCCACTGGCAGCTTTGATTTTGAATAAAAATATTTAGCAGTACAGAAACAATCACCAGTATGAAATATCCAACTTTCTGTCATACATTTCTTTTGAACTCTTTAGGGCGATACTGAATAATATTGAGTATGAGTTATTGCCCTTGTTCTTGAAAACGTGTTCAATTTTTAGCTCGTGAAAACTCTAGAAGGCAAATATTCAATTACTGAATAATAAAACCAAGTTTTATCAAAATCCAGCAAGAATCACGCTTTTAAGTTGAGAGTGGTTTTAACAACAATATATAATTGGAATTACGAAAGCACAGGCCGAAGTGAATTTTTTTTAGTGTTTAAGAGCTAAATTTGAAAGCGTTTTCAAGCACAAGGGCAAAAACTCATACTAAATATTTTTCAATTCTTCTGATTTTCAATAGGGTTCATCCTTGGGTGATTACGAACATTCGCACCAAGTTTCACCAAAATCCGTCAAGAATTGTGCCTTCTAGAATGATTACGAGCTAAAAATTGAACGCGTTTTCAAGAGCAAGGGCAATAACTCATACTAAATATTTTTCGATTTTTCTGATTTTCAATAGGGTTTATCCTTGGGTGATAACAAACACTCATGCTAAGTTTCGTCAAAATCCATCAAGTCCCTTCTAGAGTGTTTACACGCTAAAAATTGAACGCGTTTTCAAGAACAAGGGCAATAACTCACACTAAATATTTTTCGATTCTTCTGAATTTCAATAAGGTTCATCCTTTCGTGATTACGAACACTCACACCAAGTTTCGTCAAAATCCGTCAAGAATTGTGCCTTCTAGAGTGTTTACGAGCTAAAAATTGAACGGGTTTTCAAAACCAAGAGCAATAACTCATACTAAATATTTTTCGATTTTTCTGATTTTCAATAGAGTTTATCCTTGGGTGATTACGAACACTCATGCAAAGTTTTGTTAAAATCCGTCAAGAATTGTGTTTGTAGAGTGTTTACTAGCAATTGCGGACGGACGGACGGACGGACGGACATAGGCGACGGCAATATACGCCCCCCATTTTATGTGGGCGTATAAAAATTAAAGCAATAACAGTTTTCATAATTCAAGGGATATAACTTTCAATAAAAAAGTTGAGCCTTATTACGGTATGAAGTATTTTTGCTGTGTATTTCTTGTCAAAATCCCCAAATATAATCTATTGTCATTATTAAAATTATCATATAAATAGCCTATCTATTATAAAATTAGTCCATACCTGTATTAACGTCTCTGTCCCTACGCGAACTTTCACCAATTAGACCTGGAATTAAATTTAAAAACTTACAATCCGAATATTTCTCAAGTCCTCAAGTGAGTCCTGTTTTGGCACTACTTTATAAAGCTGAAAATAAGCAGTCCAAAGCTGGGTTCAAAATCTTGTGGGATGTGTAAATAATCTCAAACATACTTGATCGACAAAGTTTCTTCAGTCGAACTTTATCTCTAATTGTCTTGACGCCTAGATCATTAAGTTCTTTGTCTGAGAGATCTGGGATATCTTCGATTGAAACCTGCAAATAAACAGAAAAATGAACCGTTATTCATGTGTAACCACACCAAAGAATTGTTTACCAGAACGCTGAAAATGATCTAATAACTCTTGTCAACTTTAAATTGGTATATATCTCCTTATAATTTAGGTACATTTATTCTAATCACAACCAATGACAAGATTGGACTCTTTAGTTCAAATTAGTTTAACTCCCAGACATAAAGCAATGCCTGTATTATCGTTCTTTATTTAAGGTGGCTAAATACGAAATCAATTCTCCAATATATGTTAATTCCAAACAAACTTTGTAAGTATATGATACTTAGTAATGAGGTAAATAACAGTTCGTTATCATATAATGTTTCGTTAAAGCACACAAGTGAATAATCTTACCCTTTCCTTAACAAAATTGGGATATAAGTTATCAAGCTGTGACATAATCAGTATTTTCTCAAGTTTATCCATGATATCTGTAAAGTTCAAAATCAGTATTCAATGAATAAACACCGAAACGGATTACTTGCTGGATATGATAATTTGAAACCAATAATTGAGTAAATCTGAGTACTTAATACTATATTAACCTGGTATTACACATAGAGGGACAGTTCAGTTCAGGGATTAGTAATAATGTTTGCAGTTCACCGTCGAAATTTTAGCCTTCAAATCCATGTGTGTCCAGCATTATCCGCATTTGAAATTTAGAAAGACGTCTTTTCTTGAGACTATATACAAAAGACATTTATAGAAATAGAAAGCGAATTTACTAGTTAGAGCTATTTTTGAAATAATTATGCAAATTTCCAGTACTTCTGAAGACTTTACATATATTCTTTTTCAATAATCTTAATTTGAGTTTTAAAGTTGCCCTTGCTTATTTTTCTTGATCAAATCAAGCTTATTGTTTGATTAATTGATGTTTCTAACAAATAAATCAAGTATTCTTGTGTGCTAAGATTGTGTGAGGATATAGAAAAGCTTGGGGATCAAATTTACTGAAATGCGATTGAAAAAGCTAAAAATAGATTCCTTGTTTACTCACTGACTAAGATGGATTGTGATAATCTAGCCACATTTTCGTGTAAAAAATTATTAGCCAAACCATGTTTAAAAGACATATTTGTAAGTTGGAAATAATGTAATTAAGCACACTGTGTCATTTTCCCTAATTTGGAAACATAACCATTGAAATTTAAAGATTTTCGGTTGGTATTTGGCTGTTTTGGTACTGTTCGGCTGTGAAAAGGTAATTAGCTAATTACGACTTAATTATTGACTTCTGTATATTTCCCAATCATTAGAACGCCTCTGCTTACGATTAATATACGTATTGGCCGTCCAATAATGGAATATATCTATAAATAAATCAAAATAAGGGGAACCAAACTTTAAGTTGCCATTGTTTCAACAGAATAACGATACGAGTTTTTTGGTACTTAAATTTCTAGACTTTAGAGTTGCGCATATAGTACAATTGGATGTTTTCAATCGCTATATCATTTATGGACTCTTGAGATAAAGTAGGCCAAATTTAAGTTGTAAATTAATGTTATATTCCGTAATTTACATACAAACCATCGATTTGAATTTGAATCTATCTAGTCGCATAATCAATTTTTCTAAATAGACCCAAATATGATAAACATGTACCTACCTTTGATATGAAGATTGTGATAAAAATATTTACTGAGATTTTATTTAAGAAGTCCCAGTATTCTAAAAATAGACTGTTCAAATAACCAGCATATAGGTCAAATGGTAGGACGAACGATAAATCTTATTATATATAAGCTTCTATCATTGTTCAAACATGGAAACACCGCATCTAGATAATTATAATATAAGTACATGACATCGATTTCAATCTATTTAATCGCTTTACTTATTCTGAATAGATATAAGTATTTTAAAACTACATACCTTCGATCAAAAGTACACATGTGATTTCAAGATAAAAAATTATTTCTATTTACGACTATGTAATTCCCCAAAATCTAAAAATAACTGTTATACTTTTTTATACGCAAGTTTCTATAATTGTTTTATAGACTTCAAACTATTTTCTTTATAGGGAATATTAGTTAATTATGAATTCACCCAATTATATCGATGACTTGCCAAACAAATATCCTTACTTAAAATTAATATCTTCTTTCTACCATACCGCCACAATAAATTGTCCCAGGCCCGTAGCTAAGGGGGAAATAAATATAATAAATATTTGGCCCCCCCTGAAAATTTTTCAACCATAACGTTAAAAATGTCCTGCTTTTATCGTTTTATATAGACAACACCCTCGCTTACAGCTGGTGTAATTGTTGATTATTATCATTGTTGATTGTCAACCCCGTGAAACGCTAAAACACATATTTTCAATGTATATAATAATAATAACAAGAATAATTTATTTATATATCTATACAGGGTATAGAACAATAAGATAATAACAGCATAATAAGATAGCTTGCCAGCAAGGTAATATACGCTCACTGGCAGCTTTGATTTTGAACATAGATATTTAGCAGTACAGTAACAATCACCAGTATGAAATATTCAACCTTCAGTCATACACTTCTTTTGAACTCTTTAGGGCCATACTGAATAATATTGAGTATGAGTTATTTCCCTAGTTCTGGAATACGTGTTCAATCCTTAGCTCGTGAAAACTCTAGAAGACAAATAATAAAACCAAGTTTTGTCAAAATTCGGCAAGAATCATGCCTTCTAGAGCTACAAATTGAACGAGTTTTCAAGATCAAGGGCAATAACTCATATTTTTTCGATTTTTTTCATTTTCAATGGGCTTTATCCATGGGTGGTAACAAACACTCAAGCCAAATTTCGTTAAAATCCGTCAAGAATTGTGCCTTCTAGAGTGTTTACAAGCTAAAAATTGAACGCGTTTTCAAGAATAGGGGCAATAACTCATACTCAATATTTTTAGATTCTTCTGATTTTCAATAGGGTTCATCCTTGGGTGATAACCAACACTCAAGCCAAATTTCGTTTAAAATCCGTCAAGAATTATCCCTTCTAGAGTGTTTACAAGCTAAAATTTGAACGCGTTTTCAAGAACAAGGGCAATAACTCATACTAAATATTTTTCAATTTTTCTGTTTTTCGATAGGGTTTATCCTTGGGTGATTACAAACACTCACACCAAGTTTCGTCAAAATCCATCAAGAATTGTGCCTTTTAGAGTGTTTACAAGCTAAATTTGAACGCGTTTTGAAGAACAAGGTCAATAACTCATACTAACTATTTTTTAATTTTTCTGTTTTTCAATACGGTCTATCAATGGGTGATAACCAACACTCATGCCAAGTTTCGTCAAAATCCGCCAAGAATTGTGCCTTCTAGAGTGTTTACAAGCTAAAATTGAACGCGTTTTCAAGAACAAGGGCAATAACTAACACTAGATATTTTTCATTTTTTCTGATTTTCGATAAGGTTCATCCCATTTCCAAACGGAAAGAGGTGACGGCAATATACGCCCCCCATTTCATGTGGGCGTATAAAAATGAACGCCAGCCGACTTCGACTTATGAGACACCTCATAATAATATCGTAAAATTACATTCAATTAGACAAATAAAACAAAAATATATAATTACAGATCACATAAAAAATTTCCTTCTCAACATATACATCTTAAAAATCATTGAAGCGAAGAAAGGTAAAATTTTCGAACAATTCATTAAAAACTCTAACTTTTCATCATCACTTAACACATAAAAATTATCACAGAATTCAGAGGCCTTGGTAAATAGTTGTAAACGTAACGAATTAAATTTAAAACAATGAAATACAAAATGCTTCTCATCCTGGACTGACCCAGAGTTGCAATGACAGCAAATACGCTCTTGTATTTCCTCTGGGGGGCGGGTATACCTTCCAGTCTCTATTCTTAGTGCGAGGGATCCAGCTCTTAGTCGCGATAATATCCGCCTGTGTGACAAATTATTAACATATTTTACATAAGGGTCCGTGCCAATTCCAAGCTTAAATAGCCTATAGAACCTAAGCTTGTTGCCATTGGACCTGTTGTGGTCATTCCATACATTCTTAAGCCAAGTATCATTCTCCCTTTGCCAAAATATATTCCACAGCCTATCTAAATTAACTAAGTCATCTTTATTACGGATTAAACCTAAATTCACTCCAAGTTGATTGACGCGAATGTTCCAAGATGATTTACGACGAAAACCCCAATTGTGCACTTTCCTAGTACAACTGCTCTGGTCACTCTTTTGAATTTTATTCCATAACCGGAAAACCTCTGATTTCAATAAATCATCCCCTTGCAACCAACCCATGTCTCCTCTTGCAACATTACTACTTCTCGTCGGAAAATTCATTCATCCAAATACCTAAATATGTATATGCATCGGCATATAATAAGTCAATATTACCACATTTAAAGGGGACATTACTCCTTATAACATTTTTATTTCGGAAATGAATAATCTTAGTTTTGTCTTGATTTACTAACAGTCTCCATTTTTCACACCATACGCTTAGCCTATTAATCAGTTTTTGAAGCTTTAGTTCGTTCGGTGCTAGTAACACAATATCGTCTGCATATAGTAAAATTGTAATCATTCCATCGTCGACTTCAATTCCACAATTCAACTCATTTATGTCACCGACGAGATCATTAGCGTAAATGGAAAATAAAGTTGGGGATAAGACACATCCTTGTTTCACACCTTGACTAACGGGAAACCAGCTGGTCTGGAGTGCGTTAATTTGAACCGAACAGCTCACGTTATTGTAGAATTTCAGAAAATTCCCACCAATCCCAATGGATTTTAATTTGTGTAATAAACAGTCTCTATTAATTTTATCAAAACATTTCTTTGCATCCACAAAACATGCAAAAGTTTCTTGCTTAGCACTCTTTCTATTTTTGATCAAATTGTCTAACACATAAATATGGTCCACACAACACCGTCCCTTCTAAGCCCATTTTGTTCATTAGCTAGTATATCATTCTCCTCTATAGCCAATTGGATAGCCTCTTATTCAAAATGTCCGCATATATTTTGCAAGGAATTGAGAGAACAGTAATGCCTCTGTATATATATAGTTTCTTTATTGACTTTTTGAATCATATAGTTGAGCCGCCTTAAAAAAAATTGGCCCCCTGAGACCCAGGGCTAGCTACGGGCCTGAATTGTCAACTGACACATGAACTTTGAAACACACATCAATGCATAATGTTTCACCACATTGGTAGTAATGAGAATGGGGTGAATAAGCCTCTATGTAGATTAATTGTTGAAAATACAGACAGTGATCTTGAAGGTTAAATTGTATAATAACCGTGGTGTCATTTCAATGATATCTCCAATTCATAGCCTTTGGTATTTCCCTTTCTGTATCTATGAAGACCAGTTTGAAAATAGAACTTTCATAGATTTTGATGGATTGGTTTCAACTTTTTATTTTCGTAGAATGAATGAATGACTTAATTCGTTTTTTTTAAAAGAGAAGTAACTAAGGTGTAGCCTAAAGTAAATTTACGGAGCCCCTTAAGCGCAATTTTCAACACTTTTCATTATTATTTCGTTTAAACGAAATAAATTATTATTTCGTTAAAACGAATTATTATTTCGTTTAACCGAATTAATTTTTTCGTCTATTTCGTTTAAACGAAATAATTAACCCATCTTTTTATTTCGTTTAAACGAATTAATTATTTCGTTTAAACGAATTTCGTGAAATAATGAAATAATTAATTCGTTTAAACGAAATAAAGGAGTTTCGATATCATTTGTTTCTTTGTCTTTCCTGAGTTGGTATTGTTTATGAAGAGTTTACGTAATTGAATAAGGTAAGTTTACTTAAAGGTTCTATTTCTGAACATCATAATAATCTCGTTGTCTTTTTTTAATGAAATGATTTAGAGTTTAGCTCCCTACTTTTCTGTACCTGTACCTGGCAAATGAGAAAAGGCAAACACCATATTTTGTGCAATGAGGGCAAATTTGGAAGAACAGATGCTTGTGTTAATTGCCTTTCTTTGCCTATGAAATTATATTTGTTATTCATTTACTAACGTCCCCACCTTAAATCAATACGTATTAATAAAAATCCGTACAAGCAAAACAATTCCGTTAATCAAAAATCTCGACCAGAGAATGATAAAACCAGGTGCAATAATTATATAGTAGTGGACTTCCCATACGAAAAGTACCATCGAGAGTTTCGAAAAGAGTAAGCATGGTCTGCTTCGCGACACCCGCCACTACTATAAAGGTCAAAATCATGTGGTGCAAAGAGATCAATTTATGTCTGACTTAACAAATCTGCCAAGATGCAAGCAGATTTGTCGTATTTGACAAGGAGTTCTCGGTATCATGTATCGTTATTCCTAACACAGGAATAATCCCCGACTTATTGTCCAAATAAACTGATGATAAATTTATGGTATTGAGTTCCGTTACGTATATTCTGTAATGACCAGAATAATAATTAATATGACACGTAATAAGTTCAATAACGGCCCTAAGTCTTTTATCTAAAATGTGTATCGAAACATTGTAACAATTTGAAAATTTCTTCGTCGGTAAATTCAAAGAGTAATATCAGTTAGGTATATGAATTCCTTTGATGTCGCGCTGTTGTCAAATAATACCCTGTCTTTGAGACACCAATCACATTGTCACTGACTCATTGGTCAGATTTGTGTAGAGTTTTCATTTCATATTATATTGTGTAGTTGGTAAGTCGGGTTTTAAGGATGTTTTGGAATTCCGATTCTGTTAACGTTAAGTCAAACATTATATTATCTGATTTTTAGCGACATCAATATCTTCAGTTAGTTTCTACTCTGCGAATATATTATATGTCATTCCAATTTGAACTAACGACAAACCCACGTAGCTTAAGTTATCCGCAATATACCTGTTTTCTGAACCAAATTTCACATCTTTCAATATTGTCACATCAGATTGTTTTAAATAGTATAAATATGCAAATGACACATCTTTTTTTTGTAGAATTATAGGTAAACATGGAAAACTTTTTGAAAAGTAGAAATGTTAATTCTGAGTTAATAAACAAAATGAAAGATGACGGGGTAAGTGTAAGACATTTTTTAAAACATCTTATACACTTACGTGGAATTGTGGACGTTTATTGCCGTCACCCCTGTCGGTCCGTCCACATCTATATTGATGAGATCTTAGTTAAGTTCGAATTTCACGATTTTTCGATGAAGGGTATTTGATTTCGGGGAAGGGAGGGTTTGAATCTCCCAAATATACAGGCCTAGGATTGAACAAATACTTTATTGAGAATTGGTATTAAGGGTCTGCATTCTGGTTTTCTTCTGTTCTGATCTAAAATTAGAAAAAAAAGGAACTTGTCCATTGGGCGAGTGGTATAGTTCCTGTTTATGTATTGATTGGTTTTTAGTTTGCTATGAACCAGATTGTCATTTAAGTTCTGATTTTTTGAGTATGCAACTATCTTGTAGTGGGCATGAACTATCTTGCTTGCTCGATAACGGGCCAACAAATGGGGGTTGTGCCTGCATATTTATGAATGTTGAGTCCTGTAGATCTTGCTGTATTCAATGTCTCATTCCAGTAGGCTTCTCTAGATTGTCGGAATTTTGTAGTTTTATCTTCCGGTAAATTAATTTCTATGCGTTCATTTGGGGTTTGGGTGAGGTCGTTTAATGAAATGGTCATCGAGGTTGAAAAGATTAGAAACGGGCTTGTCTTTCTTTAATTTTTATATCTGATCTGTGAGCATTAAAACGGATGCGTAAATTATTCTTAGTTTCGAATTTGGTTATTTTTCGATGAAGGATATTTGAGTTATTGTCCTTGACTTATTAAAAATGTTTCAATACATGTTTGTGAACACACTATAGACTCTACTGTTTTCGAAACTACAAATGCTTAAATATGTGAAATGTATTTTAGTCACTAAAGACTGATTTACTTTCTGATCGCTGCCAGTGGGTGCATGTCACCTTGCCTGACAAGCCCTGGTCATGTCTGATCCCACTGACCCCATTGCGTCCAGCATTCCCTCTTCGACCCTAATGCCCATGGCGGTGTTTTAGTATTTTACCGACAACGATGTTTGTGTATAATTTGGCTACTCTTTTCATATTGTAGATAGATGAAGAAGTTCTGTCTAAAATTGAAATCCAACAACTTCAGAAATATTTACCAAAATATGGAGACTGCTTAGCTGTAACATTATTTGCCAAACAACACACCTCCTTACAGACCAATGACAGAAAAAGAACTTTAAGAGAACGATTAGTGTCAAAGTTACAAGGAAACCAGAACGAACATGGAAGACGGGCAACTGCACAAGAGGGAAACAGGAATGCGAAAAAAGGTTCGAGGAAAATTGAATTGGGATGGTTACACGAATATAGTGAAAAGGGGTTGAAACAAGTTAGATCTCCTAATGGTGGTGGAACCAGGACAGTGGATATGTATTTAGATAGTTCAATTTCTGATTTACTTGTTGAAGCCAAACAATTGTTTTTTCCAAACGGCACATCAAAAAAGGGTCCTGCAAAAAACTTTGATTTCTACATAACTGACCAAACGCAAACGAAATTAGATTGGACCATAACACTGAATCATGTTAGTCAAACAACAAAGTTAAAAGCTTTGAGGTTTTATATGGTTACAAAGGCTGTTGATGATGACAATACATTACCAGATTTAACTCCTCGGATTAAGCAAGCCAAATTGGATATTGAAGCTGCAACTCAACCGAATGAAGACAAAAACGGCAGCGATCTCGAATCCGAGGACTTTTTTGACAAGTATGTCTACAGTGACATAGAAACGCCATCTTTTGACATTTTGCAGCAAGCCATGACAGATTCTAACATACCACAAGAACCAAGCAATTTACGCAAAAGTCCAGTGCATTATATAGACCATATAGACACTCAACTAGAACCCGAAAACAGTCAAAATACCATTACATGTATGCAGGATACAAGTCTTTGTGACTCACCCATCACATCTACTGTTCGAAATGAATCCAGAAGCAATAGCCAAATTCGCTGTCAACAAGCAGATTTTGCCGACCCATTCTCAATGAATTTATGTTTACATCGAACAATACTACAGAATGAATTGATAGGATATTTTAAAAATCCAGATATTCTCCATTCAAATTTGAATATTTCATTTGTTGATGAAAAAGGGCAAGATCAAGATGGGTTGTCTAGAGACGCTTATGCCGGGTTTTGGGATTCGTTTTACCAAAGGAATACTGATGGAGAAACGTATAGAGTACCCATTTTAGTCAACGAGTACTCACAAAAGGAATGGGGCTCAATTGGGAGGATATTGTTAAAAGGTTTTATAGACCATCGATATTTCCCTATAAACCTGGCTCCAGCCTTTGCCATAGCATTAATTCACGGAGAAGATAGTATAACACCTTCGATTCTCAAAGATTCATTTCTACTATTCCTATCAAATTCAGAAAAGGATGTCCTGATACAGGCTATAGATGGTAAGGATTTTGATGAGGATGAACTATTAGGCATATTAGACCGTTTCCACTCACACGTTCTTCCACACAAGGATGAATTAAACGCTTTCATATTGCAAGTGGCACATCGAGTCATAATACAAGAACCAAAATACGCACTAGATTCAATGAAAGCCGTCTGTGGAACTGCACTTCGAGACTTTCTTCCAGACAGTAATTCCATCTTAAACATTTACGAAAGCTTGAAAACAACGGTTATGAAAGTTATCAAACTCTTCAATGCTATTCCCTTGAATAAGGAAGAAACTATGGCCTTTGATTTTCTGAAAAGATTTATAAGAGGAAGAAATTCGGAGCAATTAAGGCGACTTTTGAGATTATTAACGGGATCTGATGTCATTTGCGTCGATAAAATAGAAGTGAGTTTTGTGGTTCGACATGGTAGTCGACGTATTCCAACTATCCATACATGTGGGCCTTCACTTGAGCTTCCGTCGACGTATTCGAGTTTCCCCGATTTTCGGAGCGAATGGGAGAACATTTTAGAAAACAGAGAGAGCATTAAAATGAACATAGCTTAAATCTTCTCACATTTAATTACATCGCAATTTTGCCTCTTTGAAATTGTGTATTGCAATAGTTTGTATGTTGCCACCGTATTTAGTTTTGTTTTATAAAATCAAGGGAAAATTATGTTTTTATTTTTGAATTACACAAAGAGGCAGAGCCAATTTACTTTTAACTGTACTATAATAACCAGGAGCATTGTTTTAAGTTTTGTTTTTTGTTGTGATTTTATTTAAAGCATATTACCGGTCAGGTTAGTTTTTTTTTTGCCAGAAAGACTGCAAAAGTTACAAAATTGCGCGTTATGTAAAATTTCAAATGCATGATATTTTGTTTTATTTTCGATATTTGTATGGTTAATTGCCTTTAAACAGTAAATGGAAACATGCCTTTACTTTATTAAGTTGAATAAAATAATAAAAAATCACAAGAAATCGTATGTAAACTCCGTGGTGACCTCGGGTTGACAGACTAACACCCCCACCCCCCTCTATTGCGCCCCTCCCTGAAAATTCTGTAAAATGTCCCATATTATCACCGCAACTCCCCAAATGCCCCTCCAAATACATTACCTGCCACCCCAACTCCCGAAAAACTGGCGAGGGATGGATAAGAAATACACGCTTATACAAATGTGAATATGGCACAATTTCAAGGTGTAGGTAGGGGGAATAGTGTCGATTGTACTGGTCACAAAAATTTTGTTCGAGATTATGTAATGACTCGGTCATGATAGCCGGCCATCTTGCCCTGTAATTGGGAAGATAACTCTTGTTTGAAGATTGTTTTTGACTAGCTATTTTTTACCGCGAAATACGACACTCTCTGAAGAATGGTTATGATTGGCTGAACTGTAATTTATTCAATATGGCAATATGGCAACTACCGTATACCGTTATATAGTACGCTAGTTAGTGTCGAAGATCTGCTTCATGGCCAGGGACTATCGTTATTTTGAAAGTGGAGAGGGGGAATTGCGAGGGAGTCAACCTCGCAGCAGCGTAGTCGTAAGAACGAGAGCTGTATGCGCGAGTGGGTCTGGTGGGTCTGGTGGCTGAACACATAGAAAAATTTGAAATCTAGAATCCCGGAGAAGTGCATTCTCGGTCATCCCGAGACTCGGTAATCGTGTTTCAGATAAGGCATATCTTTCTCGAAAACAATCGATATCGCGGCTAATTCCGCGGAAAACAAAACAAAAGGAGAAACCAAGTCTCCTTCTAACAAACGTCCATCAAATGGGTGTTGGTGGCAACTTAGGTAACTCAGTTTGCCCCTCTTTGTACTCCCAATTCCATGAGAAGCTGGCACCGCCACTGTTGCGGAGAGGCGTTCTTCAAAATCTTCCCATTAAAGAGACCCGCAAGTGAACGATATTCACTAACTTATACCCGTTGCATGTGCCCCGTTAGTGTCCGATCACCAGCACAGAAAACTAACCTTTGTGCTTATGAGTGCGACTCCCATGCGCCTATTTTCTTCCACTCTTCTGACAGTCATCGGCCGCTAAGCCGCCAAAAGGATCTCTCTCGAGGAGGAATCGACAAATTTCGGCCTCTCTCTACCGACCATTGGGCTCGTCAAAAAGGAGGATAACGTATAAAAAGTCCGTATAATCCGAAAAAGTACGGTTTTAAGTCACACGATGTGTTTACATCTAAATGGCATATTTTTCGGATTATATTGACTTTTAATACGTTATTGTTAAATTTATCGTCTCTTCTAGCTCGAATCGTACTGAATTGCACCACAATATCAGCTATAAAGGAAAACATTACTCTTGATGATAAATTAGTCATTTAATCGTGTACATCAACGTAATATTTCAAGTATTGTTTCACGTAGTTCTAGATATAAGTCAAGGGCTTTATATGCATCGGTTGGATACTGCATGGCGTTTTCAATCATCAGTAACATACAGATATCATAGATGTCTTCATCACATGGTATTGCTTTCCGAAACATTGTCTCTTCTCTGCAAATAAGGATCTGGTTGTTTTCAATTAATGTCTTGTAATCTTGAACATTGTAAAGTTCTGGAGCAGAAAACATGACGATTGGTCGACCGGATGGAACATGTTGGTTTGTAGTTGGTCGGATAATATGATTATCCCATACTTCAGTGACAGAATCTAGCTCATCCTGAAATAAAGACACGTAATTTAATATCAATTCACACTTAAAGATGATTCACATATTGATGATTTAAAATATTGGTAGAATACAGTTTATTTTCTCATTCGCCTGCTACACTGTCTTTGCACATGAAACTGCGTTTTCACTGAGAATTGTGAAGTAAAGCTAGCTTTAAACTAGTTAAATCTACTCTACCGTGGTTGTCCATAGTGACATTGCACAGCGATTAACACATCTAACATGATGTATCACTCTAAAGCACCAAACTATATATGGCATTTCGACCCTTATGATAAGCTAAAACCATTTTGCATGTAGTTCTATGTAATTGGTCGTGTTTACAGATGGTCACCCTAGATACACTTTCTATAAATTACCTCATTTGCCAATTCTCGATCTACTTTGTACCTACTTCAACCTAGTTGACCGCAATGGCACTATGATGAACAATGGTTATCCCCCACTACAGTTAACTACATGCAGGATCGTAAGATGTGACCGAGGCTTTGAAGGAATACAATCAAGAGTGAATTATGTTTGTCATTATATGTGGCCGGATTAATTGAATTTACTTACCTGTATAAGTGGCAAAAAGCAGAAAATAATCAAATTTTTATCTAAAACTTACCATTAACTTTGATTTGGTCAAAAAATGCTATCCAGAATTCAGTACATTGTCTTCTAAGAACACCCCACCAACATTCAATTCTCTGGTTATGGGTGCTCTGCCCGTACATAAATGAACGTTCACCAGCCATTTGATCCATCCCATGTCTGCGAAAAAAACGTTGAAATTCACACACATGACCGTTCTCAGTACCTCTATCTGCTCTAACAATTCGAGGACATCCAATTTCCTCTACGGCTTTTAGAAAGTATCCTCCTATTAATCGTGGATCACTGCTTGTGGAATTTTTCGCGAATATCAATCGACGCATCCGTTTATGCATATTCCAAATGGTTTTAGCTTATCATAGGAGTCGAAATGCCATATATAGTTTGGTCCTTTGGAGTGATACATCCTACGTCTTAGTCTGTGCTGCTGTCTCAGAAAAACCCCTTCGGGATCTAGTATACTCATTAATAGCCGGACCTCTTCTTTTCTTGACTTTAATCCGTTTTGCTTTAATTTTTGATACATCCACCTGTATCCATGTAAGCTACCGGATCCAATATGTTCCTCCATTATAAATTCTACTACGGTCATAATATCAGCCCAATTACGACGTTTGTATAAGTTTTCAGCGTACATAATATTTTGCAGTTGTCTACGCGAAAGGTTTATTCCATTTCTCTCAGATAATGATTGTAAAATTTCACCCTGTTTCATACCAGTTAAAAAGTATTTTTTTATTAAATGCAGCCTGTATTCAGCCATTGTGATTACACAACTAGTTGGATTTGGTATTTACAAGCCCATTTATACAAGTTATTTCGTTTAAACGAAATAATTAATTCGTTTAAACGAAATAATTATTTCGTTTAACCGAAATAATAAAT